GAGACGGGGTTTCACCATGTTGACCAGGATGGTCTCGATCTCTTGACCTCGTGATCCACCCGCCTCGGCCTCCCACAGTGCTGGGATTACAGGCTTGAGCCACCGCGCCCGGCCTATTTTGGCTCTTGCGTGGACCTTATTCCCCACCCCCTCCAAGTTCAGGCCTCTGGGATTTCCTTATCGCCCTTAGCACGGGGGCAGGGCGGGTGCCTTTCAACATCCTGTGGGTCCTCCTTGTGCTCTTGTGTTCAAGCACATGGTGGCTTTGCTTCCACTTCCCTGTTGGCCCCTCTCAAGAGCAGAAGAGCGGCACTTGGAGCCAGGCCCACAGGTTCAAATCCAGCTCTGTTACTTATCAGCCATATAACATTGGACATGTTATCTGATCTCCCTATGCCTCAGTTTCCTGACCTGGAAAATGGAGTGGTGAGGATTACGTGAGTGATGTGAACCAAGTGTCCACATATAGCTCGGAGCACAGGAAGTGGCCAACACGTGGGAACTGTCACTGAGTCCATCTTGCTCAGCCTCTGAGTCCCCAAACTGCTCACATCTCATGGCCTTGGCTTGGGACATACGAAACTGCCTGCGCTAGAGCAATCCCTCTCGGTCTTCTCTCTTCCTGAGCCCTTACTGGGTTTGAAGTTCACGTATTCATTCGACTCTGAGGCTGCTCCTTTTCTCCCCACCCTGTATCCCCAGGTGAGGACCCCTGCAAGGACCCCTGCACAGTTGGACAGTCAGCACGGTCAAGCACACAGACACAGTGGCGAGGAAGACACAGCGCTGCCCTCAAGGAGTCTGAGGCCTGGTGGACAAGCAATAGGAACTCGAACAGTTCCACGAAGCACTCTGTCCCCTCATGCAATCTGGTGACTCCTGGGCCTTGGGGATTCCAGCTTTCTTGGTGCCTCTATAACCGACCTCCATGGGGAGGGTACTTTTCCCCAATCTCAGTACCTCTTCTGCTCCAGTGACCCCCAACCTGGGCGGAGGCCGTGGAAATACCACGTGACACACGGGAACAGGAACCTCCAGCTCCCACCTCCTTGGCTCCCCAAAACCATGGCTGGCCCATCTCAAGGCTGGCACCACCCTCTCACACCTGCCTGCTGAGTCCCGGATTCCATATGGTGGAAATCTCACCTTCCAGCTTTTTCTAACGGCCCCTTGCTGGGTGCTTTACTCTGTCAGGCACAGGCCTGGGTACTTTTCATGCAATGCCCTATTTATTTCTCACATCAAACTTGTGCCTTAAAGGCTATTGTCAGAGCCATCTTACAGATGAGGAAACTGAGGCAAAGGGGGCTACTTTGTTAAACCAGATAGTGGTAGAGCTGAGATCTGATTCCAATCTGATGGAGTCCAAAGTCCCTGGTGGTAACATGTCCCCACTGTGACCAAGGAGTGTGGAGTAAGCCATGAAGACTGTCGTACGGGCTGGGAAGGAATGCATGTGGGTAACTGGGCAGGAGTCATCAGCGCCCGGGGAGGCGCCACCTGCTCACCTGCAGCAGCTCCAGGTCTGCGGGCTCAGCCTGGGTGGGCACCAGCTCCGTCAGCATCTCCGACATCACCCTCACGTTCCCACTCACCATCTCCAGCTCACTGCGCAGCTTCCCAATCTGAAATACATGGTGTGTCATGGTGAGAGAAGCCCATGGTCTGGAGTTCGTGTCACTCACAGGGACAGAACCCAGGACCACCAATCCTGGGTGCAGCACCAGGGAGCCAACTTCCCAGCAGCCCCTCTAGGCAGTCTCCCTCCTGGGTCCCAGGCTACAGGCCAGCACGAGAGGCTGTGTTGGGCCTGCCGCACCCCTTCTGCAGACCCCTCACAGAGGTGCTACCTACCGTTACCATCACCACACTGGGGATCCTGGTGTAGGGAGAAGCTGAAAGAAAACAAGCTGAGGAGAAATGAGCCACTGAGTGTGGCTGGAAGGCTCCAGCATCTCCTGGGTCTAACACAGCAGCTAACGAGGCCCTGGAGGGCAGCTCCACACAAGGGGAGGAGGGAGGCTGCAGGCCCTCTCTCTCCCCTGCTAGAGAATGGGGACTCTGCCCTCTCTCTCCTCCTAAAGGACTGCGATTCTGCCCTCTCTCTCCTACTAGAGGATGGGATTCTATCCCCCCTCCTCCTAGAGGACCGGGATTCTACCCCCTCTCCTCCTAGAGGACTGGAATTCTGCCCCCTCTCTCTCTTCCCATAGAGGGAAGAGATTCTGTCCTCTCCCTTCCTAGAGGATGGGAATTCTGCCCTCTCTCCCCTCCTAGAGGACCGGGATTCTACCCCCTCTCTCTCTTCCCATAGTGGAAGGGATTCTGCCCTCTCTCCTCCTAGAGGACTGGAATTCTGCCCCCTCTCTCTCTTCCCATAGAAGGAAGAGATTCTGTCCTCTCCCTTCCTAGAGGACTGGGATTCTGCCCTCTCCCCTCCTAGAGGATTGGAATTCTACTCCCTCTCTCTCTTCCCATAGAGGAAGGGATTCTGCCCTCTCTCCTCCTAGAGGACTAGAATTCTACTCCCTCTCTCTCTTCCCATAGAGGAAGGGATTCTGCCCTCTCTCCTCCTAGAGGACTAGAATTCTACTCCCTCTCTCTCTTCCCATAGAGGAAGGGATTCTGCCCTCTCTCCTCCTAGAGGACTGCAATTTTGTCTTCTTTTGTCTGTTTTGGTGTCCCAGGCTCATCTAAGGATAGTCCTTGCCCTGTACCCCACCTTGAATATGAATCTCAGATTTAGCACTTGTTCCAAGGGATGTGAGCAGGTTTCCAATAGTCAAAGGGATCCAAGAAGTTGGGGAAACATTTTCAATAAAGCTACAGTCTCCTCAAAGAGGTCAGGTTGTGAAAGGCAATTGATAAAAGGGCCTCATGCTGTGGGACCCTGGGGGTGTTTAACATCCTTATATACACTAGGAATGCCTGCGAAAAGATCAATATAAAAGCTTCCAAAGTTTATTTGACTGAAGAACCCTTTTACGTTTTGAGAAATGCTGATACATTCTAAATCACGTGGCTGAGTTAGAATTGATTTAGGAGTATCACTACATACATTCACGACTGTGACAGCAGCTACTAATAAGTGCCACGCATTGAACATATATTGCTAACTTAATTTTTACCCTAGGCAGGCACCAATATCCCTGCTTTTACAGCTGAAGAAATGGAGCATAGAGGCAAGTAGTTCTCCATATCCACCATGGTTCACTGACAGCTTCCAAAACCGGCAAAATGTTTGATCTATTTGGCTTATTTAATGCACACTCTTGGTATGAGTGAGGGGAAAAACCACTGCTCACAAACCCCATGTATCCGAATCAGATGGGACTTAATTACAAAGGAGTCTGGGAGGAACATCACTGCATGCCTGATGTCTTAACATGTCCCAAGAGACAAAAGGCGACTCTTGAATTAAACAAAGACTACTTAGTTTTGTTTAGCAAGCAGCTTCCTACATTAGAAGTAATTAGAGTCTTAATCCACACAGATGCCAGACTTCAGGCAATTGGTTAAAATCATAACTGAATGAGACAATTTTTTTGCACCACTAAGTGCTTTTACAATTTTTACACACCTTTAACCCATTGAGAAAAAAAAAAAGTGCAGCTTGCTGTCAGCGCTCATTTAATTTTACATAAACACGCTCTCAGGCTGAGGCAAATCTGATTTTCAACATGAAAATAAAACAAAAAAAAACTGTTCTTGGAGTTATTTCTAAACAGACTGGTCTCCACTCCCAATGTAACAGAAATGTATATGATGTTACATTAGGGTTAGAGACAAGTGTGTTCTTGGGGCAAGCAGGAAATGCCTTAATAATTTGGTCCAGTTAGCAACATTTTCTAGTAATATTTGTAACTCTGCGGGGTGATTTCATAACTTGCTATGAGATAACAAATTACGGAAGTTTCTGTTCAAATAGGTTAGGGGCAGAACGAGTTCAAATGATACATTAAGCGGGCAGTGAGGACGCTTATTTGGAAAGTTAGCCTTCACTTTTCTTTCCCTCACGTATCCACATCTTCCTCCCCAGCACTCAGCCGCTCTGCCGTGATGCTCTGCTGATGTGATGAGTCTGAGGTGTGTACAACACCTCTAAAGTGGGTGCCCCCACCCCAGCAGCCAAAAATCTGGAATGACAAGCCCCCAAGCTCTACGAGCTGGTCATGGCTGTAGACGTCACTTAGCAGACACAGCAACCGTGGCCCTCCACAAGTGGCTCATGGCCCAATGGGCAAGTTGGCCCACCTCTGGCCTCAGGAGGAAGGAAGAGAGATGCCCAGGCTGCCTCGGTCAGGGTGCCACCTGCCCTGAGGTGGGTAATCCTCCAAAGCCTGTCACAGGTTCTGGAAAAACCTGCCCCCTAGAATCTCATGCTAAGTCTCAAGCCTTCTTGGCTGGGCACGGTGGCTCATGCCTGCAATCCCAGCGCTTTAGTAGGCCGAGACGAAGATCACTTGAGCTCAGGAGTTCGAGACCAGCCTGGCCAACGTGGTGAAACCTCCTCTCTACTAAAAATACAACAAATTAGCTGGGCGTGGTGGCTCATGCCTGTAGTCCCAGCCACTCAGGAGGCTGAGGCAGGAGAATTGCTTGAACCTGGGAGGCAGAGGTTGTAGTCAGCCTAAACATTTTGCATCAGCCTGTCCTGGTGTTGTCTCTGAGTGCCACTGCATTCCAGCCTGGGTGACAGAGCAAGACTGTCTCAAACAAACCAAAAAGCCTCAAACCTTGAGACTTCATAGGAAGCAGCATGGTACAATGGGCACGTTTTTTATTTTTTGCACAGATGTTTTAAAATTTTTCAGGCAGAACCTCTGTTCAAATGAAAATTCCTTTTCTTCTTCTTTTTTTTTTTTTTTTTTTTCCTTTTATTAAAATAGGTCTCTCTATTTTGCCCAGCCTGGTCTTGAGCTCCTGGCTTAAGCCATCCTCCTGCCTGAACCTTTGAGAAGCTGATATCACAGATGCACGTGACCATGCCCGGCTCAAATGAAAGCTGTGAGCATGTAAGAAACCACACAGGTGGCGCTGCCCTGGTTGAAGGGGCCGCCTACAGGGCATCTCTTCTCCATCATGCTGTCGGAGGGAAAACACGAGTTGGCAAATGGCCAAGGTACAGGGCAGTGCCTGCCAGGAGTCAGACAGATGTGAGCTGGAATCCCAGCTGCGTGATCGCTGTGTGCCCTGGGCAAGTGAATGGACCTCTCTGAGCCTCATCTCTCAAACAGGAAGAATCATGCACCCCCTGTGGGCTGCTGTGAGGAAGAAGTGGAGGCGTGAATGGTCACAGCTGACAGGGGCCCTCCCTGACATGTGTGGCCCACTTGTCTGGACCTGACGGTTCTGAACCCAGGCCTGTTTACCTGCTCTGGGGTCGGTGCTATGGGTGTGTCGCCAGAAAGTATGGCCGGGGTGGACAGAGGGGCAGTGTGTGGGCCAGAGTCCTCCTGCTGGCTGCTGTCAGTGCCCACAGAATCCTGTCCTGATGCTGTCTCTGAGTTGAATACGGTCTAGAGGGAGGAAAACAGGATCAGTGAGGACTCCTGAGAACATCAAGAGCCCAGGAAGTCAGGGGCCAGGCTGGGGATGTCTCTGGGGATGAGTCCTGCCTCCCTTCCCTTAGCTCCCAGTGCGGCAATTCTCTCACCCTCTGGGGCGTGTGGATAGGTGACAGCATGTCCAGGTCAGTCATGGGGAACTCCAGACCTTTCCTCCGTAGGTCTTCATAGATGGTGACCACGCCTGTCAAATCGGGCGAGCTGCGGAACGCGTCGGCCCAGGACTGGGAGGGGACAAGGGGACACGGCCAGTAACCACAGCTCACCTTCCCCCATGAGCCCGCCCACCTGGCACCCAGACAGAGAAGAGACATTCTTTCCCTGTTTTTTTTAACGACATCTGCCCTGCCCCCTCCACAGCAAAGCACGCAGTTGGCAATCTTCCTCCCGGCAGAGAGCATCCCACCAGCAGACAACCGAGACGCCCTAACATGAGAAGTGGAGCCTGGGGCAAACACGATGGCCTCGAGCTCTCGGCTGGGCAGGAAGCTCCTGCGATGCCAGCTCTTCCTGGCCCTGCCCTGCCCTGTCCTGGCACTCACCTGGATGAGGTTGAGCACCTTGTCATGCACGATGGTGGGTGGGTTGTTTTTGGGCAGGATGGTCCTCACCAGCACACTCTCCACGAAGTCTTGGCTGGCCACCAGCACGTGGAAGCGGTGCCCGCAGTTCTTGACACAGGTTTCTAAGACCTGGAGGGACAAGAGGTGCTGTTCAGCACCTGGTCAGAGGAGGGGCAGTGCCCAGGACCCCCACCCTTGTGGCTCCTCCTGTGTCCCAGAGGGGAGGCCCAGCAGAGGAGATGGGACTTCCTAGAGTGAGACCCCTGAACGTGGAAGAATGGGACAATGCCAGGTCTGGGGACTTGTTTATTGAAAGGAATGGCCTAGGGTGGGCAGTGGGGTGGTGTGCGGGCTGGATTTTCCTGCTTGACTGGAGTCAGTGCACACGGAATCCTGATGCCGTCTCTGAGCTGATATGGTCTAGAGGGAAGGGGCTCTCCAAGAGGAAATCAAGGAGAACCTGAGCTGTCAATCATGCAGCTCATGAAAAATGCACTGAACTCCCCTCCCCCACTCTCCGCTTCCCACCGAGTCACAGGAATTGCCTTTGCTTTTCACTTAAGCCAATTCCCCTGCATAGAAATGCCACTTGTGGGGAGGATGGGACAGCGTTTCTATCTTCCCCAGCCAAACTCACGCCACCAGCCAGGAGGCCCATGCGTGTCTGGCCGTCCTGAGATCTACACTGGTTCAGTGGTGTGGGCAAGGCTGTTCTCAGCCATGGCATTTATTTTATATTCATTTTCCAGAGCATCGAAGTGCCGGGCAGCACCCAACTCAGTCCACCAGCCTCCCGGACCCCATGGAGGCCTGGGTTTAGTGGGCGTCCATGTCACCCTCAGGTCCTCTGGCCCAGGCTCTCCCTGCCAGTGGTTCTGGAGTGATGTAAGCATCTGCCCTCATGCTGCGGGATTGGGGAGAACCTTGCCAAATGGACTTTTGCCATTTTGCATCTGTCTGCAGTGTAGACAGGATGGTGCTTTGCCCACGGACCTTTCCTTTCCAGCCTCAAATGAGGAGCCCCGGGGGGCGGGGCTGGGAGTCCTGCTGGGTCTGAGGGGAGGTGACTTTCACTGGACTGTGATCCTGCCATAGGACAGACAGATGGGGAACTCACGGTGAGAGCCAGCATCACCTCGTGGAAGTTCTTATTCCCCACGATTCTCTTCTTCACTGCTCGGAGGGCATCTTTGGGACTAAGAAGGACGATAAGAAGAAGGAACAGAGCCCCTTACCAACAGCAGAGGCCCTGGAGAGTTGGAACAGCTCTAATTTGGCCATCCTCCCTGTGACCCATCTGTTTTGTGTATCCAGCCAGGTTCTGATCACATCTGAGTCTTCCTAGCCCACTGCTTAGCAGGGACCCACAGCCTGTGGCCCCTGGACCTCCTGCAGCAGTCACTTTGAGAAAAGGTTAGAGTATTTTGTTAAAAATGCAGAACCTGGCTGGGTGCAGTGGCTCACGCCTGTAATCCCGGGACTTTGGGAGGCAGAGGTGGGTGGATCACTTGAGGCCAGGAGTTCGAGACCAGCCTGGCCAACATGGTGAAACCCTGTCTCTACTAAAAACACAACAATTAGCCGGGTGTGGTGGTACAAGTCTGTAATCCCAGCTACTGGGAGGTTGGGGCGGGAGAATTGCTTGAACCCAGAAGGCAGAGGTTGCAGTGAGCTGAGACCGCGCCACTGTACTCTAGCTTGGGCGACAGAGGGAGACCCTGTCTCCAAAAAAAAAAAAAAAGATACTTAAAAAAACGTAGAACCCCAGGCCCCAACCCTAGACCACATGAACCAAATCCTCAAAGCCTGGGGCCTCTGAATCTGAATGCTTCTCATGCTCCCCAGGGGTTTCTTATGCATGCTCAAGTTTAAGAATAACTAACCTGGAGGCATAGTACTTTTATTAAAAAAAGAAAAAATAGAGATGGGGTCTTGCTATGTTGCCCAGGCTAGTCTCAAACTCCTGGGCTGAAATGATCCTCCTACCTTGGCGTCCCAAAGTGTTGGGGTTGTAGGCATGGGCCCCTGAGCCCCTAAGCCCAGCCAGCACAGTGTTCTAATGCCCTGTCCCGGCTAGCGGCTCTGTCCATTTATCCTTCCATTCAAGTCTTTTTTTTTTTTTTCCTGAGACAGAGTCTCACTCTGTTGCCCAGGGTGGAGTGCGGTGGCACAATCACAGCTGACTGCAGCCCAGAACTCCTGGGCTCAAGTGATTCTCCTGCCTCAGCCTCCCCAAATGCTGAGACTACCAGTGTGAATCACCATGTCTGGCCCATAGTAGTCTTATAAGCACCTAATATGTGTGTGGCACCATGCTAGGTGCTGGCGATACAGTGGCAGCAAGACCATATGGCCCTGCCTCCTCCTCACATTGCGGGGAAACCCAAAGATGAGCAGGGAACAAGCAGGCCCCGGAAAAAGGGCAGGAGTGAGGATGGGGGCGGTCAGAAAAGACCTCCAAGGAGGTGGTTCTGTAGTTGGGCCTTGAAAGATGGGAAGGACCAGCCGGGGGGAGTGGGGGCAGAGCAGTTCAGGTCAAGGTCAGAGCCTGGACCAAGGTTAGGTGCAGAGGAGTTTGGTGCCTTGGAGGAACTAAGAGGAGGCCACAGTGAGTGTGCGGGAGGTCAGGGAGGGTTGAAGAGCCTAGGGGTCATGGTGGTGGGAGGCCCCGAGCTCGGATGCCAGCCTGCGCTCCCTGTCGCCTCTGTGATTCCCACCACCCTCCACCCTCGGCCCGATACAGGCATCCTCAGTGCTGCCCTAACTGCTCTTGTCTAAAAGCCTTTGTGCAGGGGCCCCACTTGCACCCTGATCTCCACGTCCATGAGGTGAAGCTCAGCTAAAATCCATCCCATCCACGACACCCTCCTAGGCCCTCCAGTCTCCCCGGCCAGTTCTGCCCTGCCACACTGAACTGGGGGCCTGCCCTGGGGAGAGAAGAAGCCTGCTAGAGGGCAGGGATGGTGTTCTCTTTGGACAGCTTCCCTTCCTAGAGCCCAGCCTGCTGCCGAAGCGTGAGTAACATTTCCCAGCCTGGCCAGTGGCCCCTGGGGCCCATTTTGCTGTCTGCCTGCCTGTCAGTGCTGACGCCATGCAGGACTAAGGCAGGACAGCCTGGAACCGTGGCACCAATTCTCAGCAGCAGTGAAGGCAGAGGCAAGGCTTTCTAGGGACGAGTTTGCCTGAGGGCTGGAGCTGTGGAGACGGTCACGCCTGCAGTGGAAGGGACACGGTGGGGAAAGGGATTATGGCCGACCAACGGGAGTCCTGGCCCAGAAGCCTGAGAGCAGTTTCCAACCCTTGCCTCCCTGGGCAGCCCCTCTCCCTTCCCTGGCTCCTGCTCTTGGCTTGGCCGCTGACCCATGGGCTACTTCAGTGCTTTATAGGGACTTGTTTCCACTTCTACGGTGGCCTAGAGAACAGGGAATCAGAATCATTCCCTGGTGTGTTCTGCCATGCGTCATTGACCTGGGGGGTGGGGCCCACCCTGGGAGAGAAGCAGCCTCCTAGAGGGCAGGGACAGCGTCCTTGTTGGACACCTTCCCTCCCTAGAGGGAAGCTCTGGGAATCGGAAGTTCTGGCCTTGCCACTGCTGTGGGCCCATGGTGTCCAGCACTCTGCTAGGAGCACAAAGCATATGACAAGGAGGCCACAACCCAATGAGGGAGACACTTTAGTAATGAGACTACGTTTAAGTGCCACACTTGGTAAGATTTAGGGTCACACCAGCCTTTGATCACTGCTGGGTCCCTCGTGCCTCCTATGGTGCCTGAAGTATGCAAGGTGCCCAAATAAACAGCAATGCACTTGAATGACGCTGAGCCTGTTCCTCCCATGGTTACAAGGGACATGGGGCTTGCTGTCCCCAAGGATACTGCAGTGATTTGCAGCTGCCATGTCCAGGAAGCTCCCAGGCCTGTCTAGAAGCTTGTTGAGGTTTTCTGCCTCCTGCTTTCTCTCTCCTAACCGCTGCCCACCTTCCGCCATCCTCTCTCGTGAGTCCTTGGCAAGACCAGGGAGCGGGGCTGAGGAAGATACTGGCAGGTTCCTGGCAGCCACTGCCTGCATGGTGGATGGCCATCTCTACCTGCGCCCCACCACCTCTCCTTGGGGGGCCCTTACCCTTCCTCTGTCTCGTTGATGATGTCGCAGATCTCCATGTTGAGGGCCCAGTCCTCGCTCTGCAGGGAGCCATCTGTGGCTTTCTCTGAGAAGAAATCATGAGTCATAAAGTCATGTGGGGGTCCTGAATGGGTAAACTCAAACCGTGGGTGGGTGGGGAGGGGGGTGCAGGGCTGGAAGAGACGGGCAAGAGGAAGATGACAGACGCTTCCCGGGCACAGGGCCTGGCCCTGCGTGAGACTGCTTGACACACACAGGCCCATTGTCATTAGATTCTTGTAGCCACTGAGGCTGGGAGCACCTCTGTCCTTCAACAGATGAGGAAACCGTTGCTCTGAGTATAGCAAGGGGAAGCACCAGAGGGGAGTCTAGGCAGCCTCTGTGTGCTTGTTTCTGACATGACAATATGGAGACAGTGCTCTGCTTCATTTTTGCAGATAAGATGTCCTCCCTTGGCCGGGCGCGGTGGCTCAAGCCTGTAATCCCAGCACTTTGGGAGGCCGAGACGGGTGGATCACAAGGTCAAGAGATCGAGACCATCCTGGTCAACATGGTGAAACCCCGTCTCTACTAAAAATACAAAAAATTAGCTGGGCATGGTGGCGCATGCCTGTAATCCCAGCTACCCAGGAGGCTGAGGCAGGAGAATTGCCTGAACCCAGGAGGCGGAGGTTGTGGTGAGCTGAGATCGCGCCATTGCACTCCAGCCTGGGTAACAAGAGCGAAACTCCGTCTCAAAAAAAAAAAAAAAAAAAAAAGATGTCCTCCCTTGACTTTAGAGTTATTTTTTGAGTTGGTAACTATTCATTGGTTCAACATATAAAAGTTCTCAAGTGGTGTACAATGGAGTTAGGTAAATCTATCTCTGTCCCTGTCCCAGCCTCTCTTCCTAGAGGCATCCCCTGTAATCAGTTTCCTCTAGAATCTCACAGGGACCTTCTTTACCTAGGAAGCAAGGACTCCGATTACCAATAGGTGGCCTTGCCCTCCTGTGCCCTTCTGAGGCACCCACAGAAGGGACCAAGCCCAAGCCACTCCACAGAACTGCCCCAAGAAGAGGTGACGATTCATGCAAGGTATCAGCTTGGTACTAGCCCAAAATAAATAGTAAGTGCTGGTGGTTTTTTTTTTTTTTTGGAGACGGAGTCTCGCTCTGTTGCTCAGGCTGGAGTGCAGTGGCATGATCTGGGCTCACTGCAACTTCCGCTTCCTGGGTTCCAACGATTCTCCTGCCTCAGCCTCCAGAACAGCTGGGACTACAGGTGCATGCCACCATGCCCGGCTAATTTTTTGTATTTTTAGTAGAGATGGAGTTTTACCATATTAGCCAGAACGGTCTCGATCTCCTGACCTTGTGATCCACCCACCTCGGCCTCCCAAAGTGCTGAGATTATAGGCGTGAGTCACTGTGTCTGGCCTGTAAGTGGTGGTGTTCCTTTTTTAAAAAAGTTGACATGAAAGTCACATCAAATAAAGCCATTTTACCACGTATAATTCAGTGGCAGTTGGTATATTCATAATACTAAACACAACCACCACCACCTCCATTCAGTTCCGCAAAATTTTCAGTTGGTGGCAGTTCCTAAGGGAAGATTTCCAGGCCAGGGGTCGGCTGCAGAGTTCTTGAAGCCAGGTTCATGGCAGGGACCACTGGCTGCAGGTCTGCTGGGTGGCAGGTACCGGGCTGGCAGCCTTTTGTGAACTGTCATGTGGGAGGCACCGACTGGTGTTACATGAATGATGAACACGAGGCTGGCAATGCCAGCACCTTCATAAACCGTCTTCAGGAAAGAAAAGCGCTGTCCATCCTCTTAAACACGTGACCTGTTTTTTGTTCTCTGCGTCTTCCTAGATGCCATTCTCACGCAGACCGGTTCAACCACGTGCACATAGGCAATGGTGTGCCCTGTTTCTTGCAGACAACGTTTTATTACGCACATCGCTCTGGCTGGTCTATATTGTGACTCCATGGAGGACTGTGTGATAAGACAGGCCGTGCTTAGCATTTTAAGGGTGAGATCCTGTTTCGATGCAGGGCACTACCCAAGTCCCCCTCTCCTGCGTGTGTCCAATGTGGAGTACGCATACACCTGCTGGCCTCCACAGCCGTCCTGCCAGCCTTGTCACACCTGCAGGCTGGTGGTCCTGGGACTTGGGTACAGTGCTGCCAGGTGTCTATTACCTATCGGGAATGTGAGACAGAGTCAGCATGCAGAGCTTGTTATTCCACGTGATGTCACGCTGTCCTGCAAGGCAGGCTCTCTCCTCATGGCTGTGCCCAGGAAACAGCTGAGGCTCGGGGAGGGCGGGCGACGCCTCACTTGCTACACAGCTATTTGTAAGCCGGGCCGATTCCAGGCACTGGGATACCATGGTGGACATGATGGGCGTGGTCCCCGCCTTAGGGTACCCGAAAGACGCTAAAGCGCATGCTAAACCCAGTCTGCTGGAGGCAGGAGGAGGGCAGTCTCTGTGGGGCTGGACAGGGCCCTCTTCTAGCCAGGCTGGCCCAACCAGCTCTAAGACTGTGTCTCTGAGACCTTGGCTTTGCAACTGGCCCAACCTGAGTTCCACCCTAAGGTCCTGAGCCAGATGGATGCTAAGGTGGCACAGGACACATGCCAGGTGACTGAGGCAGAGGATGGCTGCCTTACCCCCAGATCAGCCTGGAGGGGTGGAGGAGGGCTCCCGTGACAGGGCTGAAAGGCAGGGTCATCCACCCTGCCAAGGTTTATTGAGTGTGGTGGCTTCTTTGTACCACACCCCCGCCCTTGGGGGTTCCACACTCACAGAGCCACCTGGGAAGAACAAAGCAGGCTGAACAAGCGACCCTCTGAGCAGAGGGACATGCCCTGCTTTGGAGGGTTTTGGGGCAGGGGTGAGTCCAGTCAGTCAGCGTTAACCTACAGAACCTGCTCCTTCACCACAGGTCACATCTCAGCAAGCCCCAGTCACACAGGCCAGAGGATTAGTGTCATTTCTCTCCCCGCCCACATCTAAAGGCCACGAAGTCCTGCAAAGTCAGCTCCCAAATCTCCCTCCATCACACCGTCCCCTTCTTGCCATCCTCTCTGCCACCGCCCCTGCCCCAGCCTGGCCATCATCTTCCCCCTGGACCACCGCCTCAGCTTCTTCGCTCCTCCTGCCTCCCGCCTCCCACCCATTCTCCACGCGGAAAAGAGGGAACTCTCTGAAACCTGAAAATGGCAGTGTCCTTCCTGACCAAATCCTTCTGCGTCTCCCTGGTCTGTGGCCAGGCCTCATGCCCTACCACAATAACATTTTAACTTCCCAAGTTATATGCCACAGACTATCATGCAGCATTAGCTGTTCACAAGAAGAATGAGATTTAGTTTTCACACTCTGTAAGGTGTGCATTATGCCCTCATCTCACGAGGAAACTGAGGCACAGAGAGGTCAGCAACCAAAGAGCACACAGAGGAAAGGGTGGAGCAGCCGCTGACGCTGTGGTGCAGGTGCCTGAGGCTTCTCTCAGCGGGGGCAGGGAGCTCTGCTTTCCCAGAGGTGTCCTTCCCGACCATGCAGGCAGTCGGCCCTCTCCTCCCTGAGCTCCATCGGCAGGGCTCTCAGTGGTTCCCCCATCAGATCCCCTTCTGTCCCCAATACTCCCAGAAAACAAAGGGCACCTCTCATCTCCCGGAGGAGTGAACATCAGTGTTTCAGGAGAGGCTGTGGTTGTTTTGGAAAGGCAAGTCAGTAGCTTTTAAAGGGAAGCGGGGACATTGATAATAAGAGAAATCCCACACCTGGGAATCAGGTGGGTGCAGAAGGACCGCCCCCTTCCCATGCAGGAGCCTGATGTGACCCAAGCAGCGGCCAAGCTGCTTAGCCCTGAGTGGCAGCGGGCAGCAGTGGGCAGAGCCAATCAGAAGATGGAGGTTTTCTGCAGGGTGGGAGGGGACATGTGGCCTAAACAGGAGAGGGGAGAGGAAGAGGAGGAGGAGATAAAATCAGGACAAGACTGATCTGAGCGATTCCAGTTCGAGAGAGCTGTTGGGAGGCCGTGGGACACATCTGTCGTGACCATGGCTTGGCAACCCCTTCTGGGCTCCTCCAGGTTCCTCCAGGTCCAGGCGTGGACTGCAGGACTGGGGAGAGTCATGGATTTCCTTCAGATGCCCACAGAGTAGGCATATTCCACCAGGGCAGAATTTTAAACCCACAGGAATCTGGCAATATTTGCTTTGTTTTTGTTCTTAACCATAGAAGTAACTCAGCTTGCTATTTTAAGAAGGCAGAATAAAAACACCGGCAGTGGTTACCAGTTACCAAGAGAATGACAACTGACTCCCTGACCTCTGAGCTGTTGGCAGGAACCTTCACAGGCCTCTGGGTAGCAGCTGCGCTCGTCTTCCAGCTCCTGACAGAGCCGGCCCTGCAATCCTCCACCTGTCATCAGGAGGCTTTGCGGCTGTCTACGCTGGCAAGCCTGTGGCTTCGGATCTCTGGGCACCTGTGCGTCTGTACAGCAGTTTGTCCTCTCCCTGTTGGGCCTGGTGCAGATACCACCTCCCTGGAGGGCTCCAGATAATCTTCCTGGCACGATGGCAAGACCCACCTTCCCCTCATGGAGATCAGGATGGAGTGGGACGAGACTGGCCTCAGCTAACTCAGAGACTGCAGGCAAAGATTCAGCCGCTCTGAGTCTCTGTTTTTGCACCTGTAAAATCAGGATGAGACTGCCTGCCTCACAGGGTGCTGTGACCTTGCAGTCAGACAATGTCAGTCTGACATCAGGAAAGGTTAGTAATGAGTAACCAAGCTGCGATGACTGTGACTTCAGCCAAGAGAAAGAATGCGTAGTCACCAAAGACACACCGCACCATGGGCAGCATCAGAGATGGGGGCCATGGTATGGTACCACCCCTTCCTTTCTTCCTCCCCTCCCTCTCCCCTGTGTCTCCCTTCCCTCTCCCCTCCCCTCCTCTTCTCTCTCTCTCTCTCTCTCTCTCTCTCTTTCTCTTTCAACAGTCTCACTCTGTCACCCAGGCTGGAGGGTAGTGGCATGATCTTGGCTCACTGCAACCTCTGCCTCCAGGGTTGAAGCAATTCTCCTGCCTCAGC